GCAACGAATACTCAAAACATATCACTAATTATTTTACTATATTAACTTAAAAACTGTTATCCATTTCTTGAAGGTATTTATATCTACTCCAGCTGTATGGTGGAAATACTTTATAATGAGGTGCTACGGCACATCTCTTCCCAACTCCACGTTCAGTGACATCACACTGATAGCTTGAAATCAGCCAGGGTGAAAATACCTATACCACAGAAATTGGCAAACACAACAAATCAGGGCCCTCCCAACCTCCCAAAGAGCTGGTTGTTAACCAGTTCTCAGTTCACTACTAGTTAAGTCATTATCTAATTCTCTGTCTGCCCTGGCTCTCCCAGACAGCTGTCTCCCATGTTATGATTTTGCATTTCCTTACCTCTTGAAATACTTAAACATCTTCCGTGCAGTTCTAAAGTTCTTTGAAATTCACATAATCCTGAACGTTTAACATTCTTTCTGTTTAGTAGGACTACACAAATCAGGTAATAAATTGATGCCCCAGTTAAATTCTTTTCGCATGTTTGACATGATCCCAGCTTTAAAGGTTATTCTGTTACCATTTATTCCAAAGCAGTACAGAAGACAGGCATTGTTGACTTCATTTCATTTAGGCCTGTTGCCTGGTTTCTTCTAGTACTAATTTGTTATAGGCCTACAGGAGATAATTTGTTGTAACCCACATGGTCAGGTTAAAATATCTAATAATTCAGTATTTCATAGCAGAGATATCTCAGTAAATTTGTTATTTTTATCTTAACTTGGAAGTGAAGTTATTGTACTTCAATCATTAAAATCAATTTCATTTTATATATAACTGTATTATAAACTAATCCCAGGGGCAAAATCCATATATCCTATTCAATTGAATTCCAAACACTGATGAACCATGATATTAGATTCCAACACTGCATATGGGTGTTAAACTTTTTAATTTGAATTCTCTAATATAACTAAATTGTGGTAATTCAAACAAAGAGATGCTTCCCATTACTAAAGTTAGTAAGGCATAAAGAAGTACTAGAACAAAGCGTGAATCCAAGCATATATAGCCTAGACTCCCTTGCAAGTCATGAAGAAACAAAATCGAATCTACAGGTTTCTGTTTACAGAAGAGTTTATTCCAAGCCTTAGAAATATACTGACTCTGCCATGCATGGAATTGCTATAAAATACCAACACTGATTTCTTCGAGTACCTTATGAAAGAAAAAAATGTATCTTACTCATTTCTAGTCAACGCAATCTTCATTAGACTAAAATCCCTGTAATGTAAAAAAAGGTCTGATGATGATTCAAATCACAGAGACCTAAAGCCTTAATGCCCCTCACCCTGTTCTTTTCCTCCTCCAAGCTTCTACTGCCTGTCACCCTTCTGCCAAGGGAACCACAGCTCTTAGCATTTTTGTCACTTTGGGATTGAAGAGGAAGAGAAGGTAGAGATGGGTACGAAATTAATGGAAGATAAAAGAAAGAAGGAAGGTAGGTCATTCCTTGGCTGATAAAGCTCAGATGCATCCCCGCCCTTTCCCTGCTTTGTTTGGCAATATAAGACTGACCCCTGCAACTACATTTCTGGGGCTCCTTTTCCATTGGCTTCCAGTTCATTTGGTCAGTGGGAGACTGAAGGGCAAAAGGAAGGAAGTATCCAGGATATTTTGTCCCCGTTCTTTCTCAGCCAGATTTGTACAGGAGTCACCTCAAACAGTGACTATATCTGTTTCATGTTTTCAAACCCCTGGTAGGCAGTGACTGGGACTCTACTTTCTGCCAGAGACCCCCAGTTCTGAAATCTGAAGTGTGGTATTACTGCTTTCCCTCTGGGGCTCTCCAGCCACAGGAATGGTAATGGCTACCTGGACTACTGCACCACCCCCCACCCTCCTCGGGCTCTGCCTTCCTCTTTACAACCAGTGACTTCCATTAAATTCCTTCTCTTTGGAAGTGCTACAATGATTTTTGTATTCCTGACTGGACATGACTGACACAGAGAGACCAGAAGGGGGATAATTAGTCAGGTATTTTCTTTTCTAGGTAACCAGGGTTACTGCTGTTACGGGTGTGGAAGAAGGCAGGGGAAACAGAAGAAGAAAGAGAGCAAATACTTGCTGAGCACCTTTGGTGTGCGAGTGCTTTATTATCATCTCATCTTCACAGATCGGGAAGTGGAAGCTCAGAGACGTCAGGTATTTCCCGGGATCATACTGTTAATACATGGGTTGAACAGGAACTGAACTCAGAACTGATTCCGAAGCTTTTCCACTGGAGCATGCTTCTTCCCTAACAAACATAGGGTTACATTGAGAAATCATTCTTCAAGGGCCAAGGGGACTAGATATAAAAGCAGTAAATGTCAGATAACCTGGGATCTGGGTTCCTGTCATGGCCACACTGAAGTTAGCTGAAGGTAGCTATTACTATGCATCAAAACGAGTACATCTTTAAAAATTGCCTTTTATCTCAGCCTAGACTCTGCCAGGATTTGGGCTGAACTGAGAAACATTCTTGAGGTTGGAAGGTTTTCATTAAGCACATCTGCTATTTTGGAGTTGTTTTTATGGAGTTCTGGGGGGCTTTTGTTTAGAAGAGTATAATTTATTTGGGAATTTCTTCTCCTCCTTCCCTCACTGCAAAGGTTTATCAAGACCATTATGTTTTATATAGCTGACCTCAGTACCAAAAAAAAAAAAAAAAAAAAGCTAGGTAGAAGGGATGAAAGAGATCCACCATCCTTATGTGCTCACATCTACTCCTATGATACTACTTCAGATCTGGTTACTTCCAAATCTTGCTTTCTCCTGACATGTAGACATGTATGTCCCCCTGTTTTCTGGACCTCTTGGTGTCCTCACACAAGTCTGATTGAACATGTCCTACACTCACTCTATTTTCCTGAATATGTGGTTCTCCCTTTTATATTCCTAATTTATTTCAGTTTATTGGCCCCACAGTACAACGCGCTACCTCCCTTGACTGCTCAGCCAGTCATCCCAACCCCCACCCACTCCCTCAGACTGCAGATTCAGTCGGGTGCCAAATCCTGTTAAGATCAGCTAAGTCACTCCCAAATCTGTCTTCATTTATTCATTCATTATTTCACTGCTATATGGCAGGCCTGGGATTCAGTGCTGGGAATACTGAAATAAACCAGATGGGCCAAAGGAGATACTTCCGGTCTAACTCTCTATGCTCTTTTTCCGTTTGTCCTTTCTCACCTGGGTCCCACCATTAATCTCTTTACTGTTTGGGTTGTCTTCCTCCATCTTCTTCCCCACCCATTTTGCCTATGCCCCTAGAATGCATTTTGTAAAACTAAAATAGTAGGTCACTTTCTTCCTTAAGATCTTTCAGTAACTACACACAGCCTTCAATGCAGCCTAAATGCCTTGGCATGATACAGCGGGACACATCACATCTGTTTCTTCCAGCCTCTACCTGTGATGCTTCAGACCCACACACACACCCCTGCAAACTCTGACATCTGCATGTTATTTCCACTGCTTAGAACGTCCTTCCCTATCTCACACATCTGTTTAACTCCCATTCATTTTTCCAAACCCAGTAAGAAAGACTCTTCTTTGGAATCTATTCTCTAAGTCCACCCCATGCCTGGGGCTCCTTCCTTAGGATTCCTGTTCTTGGTTCCCACAACACCCAGTACATACCTTTATCATAATATCACGGCACACTTATCAGATTAATAGGTAAATGCACTGTCTCCTCCACTCTGATGGGACTTCCTTGAGGGCAGGGAGAGGCTCGGGTTCATTCTACATCTCCAGCTCTGGGCCCCAGATCTGCACACAGTAGATCCTCAAGAGGGAATAGGTATATATTTTATGAAAATGTGAAGTAACTTACACTGTGAAACTCACAAGGAAAGACCATTCTTATACCTTGCAAACTCCTATTTTTTCCTCTGCTCATAATAGAAACAGATCCTACTTTTGCACACCCGGCTTTCAGTATAATTATCTGGTATTCTTTTGCTATTACTATAAGCCATTTAACCAAGACTGAAGTTGTGTACGTGGGCAGAGAACCCCAGCCAGCGGAGTTGTTCTAGGACCTATGAACTATCCCTAACGAATTCCCCAGATGTGACTTTTATTAACAAAGTGGAACAGGTACAGTGTTTGTAAGAATTTTAGAAAAATGTGAAAGTACCACCCCCATTTCTACACTACTGCAGGATTCCAGTGTCCACAGAGCCTAATAGATGAGAGTACTGCTTTTCGCAGGACAGTATTTTCCTTAGTGGGATTACAGTTGGACAAGTAAGTATTTGCATCTCATACAGGTCACTGGAAATTCAGAATAACAGAATGAGCAGCTTTTTACACCCGCCCAAGAGTAGATCCCACTGCAAGAGAAAACATTCTCAGATTGGCCTCTTGGAGAATTTGATAGTATAAACGATGGGCTTAAACCATAGGTTGATTCCCTTACCATCCCTCATCCACCATGCACCCGCCAGATGGAAAATGAACTGACTTATGTACGAAGTACCTCCCAGTACTGGAATGGAGTTCTAGCGGTGCCGACAGCACTGGAAGCGTTTAGGCAGGTTTGAGCTGAGTAATACATTTAGGTGGCGCAAGGATTATAAAGCATAGAGTTTTGCCCATATTAAGATAAGCTTCCTGTACCTATTGACACATAACAGAGGTCTGTTTACACAGGATGACTCTGGCTTTCAGCTCCAAGCGAAATGAGTCTTAGGGAAATACTCCAGAGAGAAATTGGCCGTGGATTTAGTAGGAGGGCCAGATTTGGGTTGTAACAGGAATAGTATTTTTGTTATAATCATCTCTTCTCGAGCTAGATCTACCCCGAAAATGTTAGATTGTACTTCAGGTGTTAAGAATTTACTTCCTACAAACAAAAAATCAAAGATCTAACTTTCTAGAATGCTTCTATTCTCGATGTCACCCCAAAGAGTGCCAAGAGTCCATGATCAAAGAATGTTGCGATGCGGTGACGCACCATACCAAAGACAGGAGACCGCTGTTTCTGCTTTTTCATACTCTTTATTGCCAACAGTTTAAAATGGTCAACATAAAAAAAAGAAACATTTTGATAATAAATACTGCTCTTTGGGCTGTAATAAATAAAAAGTTTATTAACAAGGAATGCACTTTTCCAGCCACAAGTGTCTTCAAAAATTAACAACAACAAAAAAAATTATGTATGGCCATAGTTCACAGTTGAGTAGCCAAAAGCTGCTCCGAGGACAGCCTTTAAACAACACGGGAGCTTCCTCCCTCTTCCCTCCCCTTTGGGAAGTATATTCACAGTTCCAAGTCTTCTGTCTGAAATGCTCTCAACAGAGAGAAGAGTCAATGCACCTTTCTGCAAAATTGTCTGAAAAACCTTTTAAAACAGGTACGTCAAGGAAAACTGCATTCTGGTTCACTCTCAGATTGTCCAACGTTCAGAACTGGATGCCTCAGCCTGGTCTGGTTCCGCCTAGTCCTGCAGGCCCTCGCGGAATTGTTTTCGTACCACCACCTGTCCATCCTCTTCAACATGCTGTAGACCATCTGACTGGCTTCCCTGTAGATCTCACAGTGGAAAAGAGGAGTCCCATAGGGTCCATTCAAGAAGTCTTCTAGTTACATCTCTGTAAGAGCATGTTCAGAGCATATTCCATTCGATGTTTTAATTCTAACGAACAGCCAGACATCAGCAGGGTTGTTAGTCTGAACGTTGTAGATATCCTGTCCTCGTTGATGTAAGTGAGGAGATATTCTTCGTTTTGGCTACAGATGATTATTTTCGTATGATCATGGTAGAAATTCACCTTTCAAAAGGAAACACAGATATTAGACATCTCCAAATATTCAAGAATTAGACAAGTGTGTCCAATAATTAAGTGGCTAGATAAAAATCATTTTTTGTGACCTAAATACACACATTTCTGAAAGGCTCACTTACCTGAAAGGTGCCATCATTAAAGAGCATCATTAAGGCCTTATCAGATTTCAGCCACTGAAGGAGGTAGAGCCGAGGTCTTCGAATATCGGTAACACTAGGCAGATCTCCACCCTAGAAGAAATTGGGAGAGTAAGTGCCCATAAAAATTTTGCAGTTTCCAAGTCTTCTAGGCACATGCCTGTCCAACCTGAGCAGGCATCAGAATGGCCTGGAGATTCCTGGTCCCGCCTCCCAGAGATTCTGACTCAGCAGAGCTAGTGTAGGACATGAGCATCTGCACCTCTGACAAGCTTTGGAGCTGTGCAGATGCTACTCGTCTGTGGACTACACTTCAGATATCACTGCTCACAAGCCACATCCAGGGGGTACTTACATCCATGAGGTTCTCCTCCATGTAATGAGAGAAGTATTTGAGCACCGTCACTTGACTAATGAATTGTTCAGGGGCATCTGTTGCTTGGAAAACAGAGCATTGGCCAAGCTCTGCATAATAGTGAACTGTTCTGAAAAACAGGAACCATAGGGAGAGAAGAGAAACAAAACAGAAGCAGTTAGTCACTGTTTTTAGATTGTTAGTGCAAGACTAAAGAAGTGACAGGACTTCATTAACTGGATACACTTACTTTTTGTCTGGAAGGAGGCTCATGTGAGCACCATTGTTGAAAAGGACACCTACAGTGTGGTCTGAGAGCTGGTACCCAAAGCCGTATTTGTTAGAGTAATCGACCCATTTGGTGACCCACTGAAAGGAAGTGCTCAGCTGCTCTTTAGGAATGCAGTCAGCTTCTGGCATGTTTTCTAGACATCCTCGAAGGACTCTTGCGACTGTGTCCGCAACACTGCCCATGGTACTGTCCTCAAGGCCTGAAAAGTCAGGGAAAATTATAAAATAATTAACAATAAGACCTTAGGCTTTGGTGGCTGCTGAACTTTCCCTCCACGACTTCAAAGGACAGAAGTCTCAAAACTGTTCCTTGCCTTTTTCCAAGTCCTCTGATTTTGCCTCTTCTATGTTAAATTGGGCCACAAAACAAATGGACTCCAGTTACTTAGTATTAAGCACTGGCATTTATAGCTTCATGTAAAATGCCACTGACAGCTACTTACATTCACTGCTACTGCTGCAGCTGCCGAGAGTCCCTCGGACTATCATGCGGATAGCATCTCCAATCTGCTGCTTATTTTCTACCGCAGGTGTTCCAGATCGGGCGACTGTAGTGGTGGGTGGCTGGAGCTCCTAGAAAAGACAAGAGTTAGACAATGAGTCAAGCATCTACAATCCATTTAAGGCTGAGAATTCTAGGTTAGGGTGAGATTGTGGCAATTGCTGGGAAAGCTGATCAAAAAGCAATGGGCACAGGGCGCCTGGGTGGCTCAGTTGGTTAAGCGACTGCCTTCGGCTCAGGTCATGATCCTGGAGTCCCTGGATCGAGTCCCGCATCGGGCTCCCTGC